ACTAAATGTCAGTAGAAATAGGAATTGAAGAGTGAAAAATGAACATTCCCTTCCCTGTTCCCTCATTAATCTAGAAAGCCATGATTTGGTAGGATCCCGAATTCATAAGAATGAGTGGCAACTTTTCATTATTTATATTTTATTTTTAATTCAGGCACTTCTAGCAGATTTACCTCCAGAATTGGAAGAGATGGATTTCAATCATACATCTCCAGAACCTGATGATACCTCATTCAGCTTGTCATCTTCATCAGAAAAAAATGCCTTGGACAGTTTGTGATCTTTTGACAAAAGAAACAACACAGTATAGTTTGTCTAATGTGTATGTTTTGAACCAATTACATTTTGTTAACCAATATCCTTAAATATGAAGGAAGAAGTAGGGTGGGAAGGCAGGCAAGCCAATTGTATATTGAGTGCATTTTGATAGTATCTACAAATTCAGAGTTTTGTTGCTGACAAATGTGAAAGCTACTTGAAAGCTGTTTCTAGCAGCTATATCTTGATGATGGTACCTTCATAATAACATGAACTTGATAATAAACCCCTGACCTAATGAAGGCACCAAGAATGGAAGAATAATAGTCAGTTATGTTAATAATTCAACAGTCCTTCCTAATGTTATCTGTCAGTCCTACAGTGTGATATTTTGCCTTTTCTTGTTCTTTTCTCCTTCTCAGGTAGGTGAACTGATCACTGGAAATTATGGGTTTCAAGAGATCAGTGGGGATAATTTGGGCCTTCATTCAAATGATGATCATTCTAACCAGGGATCAAACAAAGAAGTATTGGTCTTTTTCTTTTTCTGTATATAGCAGCAAATCATTGTAACTTCTCTTCATCTTCGATTGATGAAATATCCTGGAATATTTTCATTACCGAAAAAGCAAATCTATTTATCTTAGCTCTAATAAATTATTTTGTGTATATCAGCAGATGGAAATTCCAAACAAAAAACAAAACAGTTGACTTTTATAAATGCACAGTTTAGAAAAACAATTTCCAGTAGCACAGCATTCCCCTTTAGTAGTTCCCCCATGGGGGGGGGGATGGGCGGTTGAAAAATTTAATAAATAAATAAATTTTAAAACTGTAGAGATTGGTGATACTAATCCTAGGAAAGCTACAAAGATCCAGTATATACCCATGTTTGAAGGTCTGGTAGATGCTTGTGGCTTACTTACAAGCTAGTGGTCCATGAGCAAGCCTCATATAAAAGTTTCATGGAAATATAAAAAGTTTTGTAATTTAAATTTCCCCTCCAAGTGTGTTTGGTGGAAATAGTGACTCAAGAGAAAGAAAAACTTCATGGGTGGTGTGAGAAATTTTGATGAAAATTCCCCCCAAGGGGAATTACTTCTGGAATTGTAATGTGGAACAGCTGCTTAGTCCATATACCTGTTAAGATAATTTTTTAAAAAACAAACTAATCGGCTAGCAATCAAACACTAATTTATGAATTAGCTCTGAATAGGATTTAGCAAACGTACAATACATTTATGCATCCTGGCTTAAAAGTTACTTTGACTTGTTAGGCAATAAGTGGGCCATGTAGACCTGAACTCAGTGACAAATACACTGGAGTTATCCATCTTCGCTGTGTGCATCAAAATCCTGCTCAGAATAACGTCTCAGAGTCCAGTGCATAATTTGACCATTGTCCTCTTTTTCAACTACTGCTAGCAACAGAGTCTGTTTTAATCTTAAACATTTTTAGAATTTTGATCTAAAGTTATGTATGTTGTGTCTTAAATAGGATAATGAAAATGTTACTTACCAATTTGTATGCTTTGTTCTTTGGGATAGTATTTCACTGATTGATTAGGTGCTTGTCAAGTCCATGTTGACTCTTAGCGACCACATAGGTAGACTTTCTCCAGGATGATTTGTCCTCAGTGTGGCCTTTAAGGTCTCTCAGTGCTGCCTTCATGAAAATGTGAGATAAATAAGAGATGCTATTGATGCTCCATAGCACAGACATAGAAGGCACAGTCTTTACATTTTATGGAAATGTTGGTAAGCAAACTGCTATGTAAGAAATTTGTCCTCCCTCTTCTAAAGTCCCCTTGTGTGTTATTTTTAAATTCCAATTCATAGCTTCTTCACCATAGCCATCACTGCCTCCCTGCCCTCTTCATTCGTTTCCATTTTATCTCTCTGCTTTCCTCCTCGTTGCTGTCTCAGAAAGAAAAGCACAGGAGAAGCAGGATTGCAACTCCCCTTAGCCTAAGAAGATCTCTGTAATGGTCACCAGGGAAGGGATTTGCAATTTCACATCTTGCAGAGGAGGAATCAATGTTTGTCCCTGTCTGTTTGCACCTCCGTGTAGAAGCGAATGTACTTGGCTTTCAGCAATGATGTACATACTCTCGAGTGAAAATGAAAAGGGGGTGGGATTGGGTACCGTTCTGCATCTGAGAAATCAAAATCTTATGCCAAAGAAGGCTGTATTCTTTTGGCCCATATAAATTATGCAAATTTATTTTACATAGGTTAATTATGGCTTCCTTTTCCTTAATATTACTCTGGTTTGCTTTCTGGAGAGGGGTCAGGAGGACACTGATGTTCTTTACCTCCAAATACTAGAAGGCTCCTGAAGCCACACCTCTAGCTTCTGAGTTTTCAGCAAGCATTCCCTCAACATTTTTATAGCACAAGTTAGCAGCAATAAAACTAAATAATAAACACGTTAGGTTCTCAAGAAGCTGTTCTGCGCTCACTGCCATGTTGATCATTACGTCTGCATTATGTGGCATGGTGACACGTGTTTAGGAGTCATGAAAGTTAGCTTGAAGTATGACTGTAGTAAGCGTCAACATTAGATGCATTTTTTTTTTTAAACCTGAATGTAAAAGGTAGGAAGCAGGCTGAGGCAATGCATGTTAAAGCCGTCATAATAGTTGGAGGAAGAAGGTTGTGGTGGGGAGCATAAAAGATGACCAGGGAAAGGTCTGTACAGATCTGAATTGCACTGCGACTTATGTTTAGGGTAAGCGCCTGTTGTTCCACATGCCATTTCAGTCTGTATTTGCTTAACTAAATGCACTGCAACCAATGGACATTGTGGGGAGAGGGGGTATAATAAAGACCACCATGATTATCCAGGCCAGTGTTTCTCAACTTTGGCCCCTTGAAGATGTCTGGCTGGGGAATTCTGGGACTTGAAGTCCAGACATCTTCAAGGGGCCATGGTTGAGAAACACTGATCTAGGTACTTCTCATTTTTGCTTTCTAATGCATAGTCAGCAGCAATCCAGACATCATATAAATATGGGTTTCAGTGGAAATGCAAGGTGAGCAGAGTTTTGAAAGAACTGAAAAGCTATTTCATACGAAAGTTTGCTTTTTTTGTATTTAGCTACCTCGGATGTAGATGCCCAGATTCCTAAGCTATAAAGATGCCTTTCAGCTTTGCAGCTATACCAGAAGTTCAGTGGAAGGCTTGTGTACTGTTCAGGCAAATCTTTTGTGAACTGGAAAATGTCATTCTTCTATCAGTAATTTGTGTAGCACTTTGGTTGTGTATCTATCCATCTGCCTAGCTCAACATCGAGTCACTAATTTTGACTTTGAAAGGCATGACACAGCTAGTTATTCCCTGGCCTCCAGTGTGATCTAAATATAACTCTGCAAATTATAAATATAAACTTTTTTTTGGCTTGGGTTCTTTTAAGCTTGTGCATCATTTGATGCTGAATGTATGATCTGACTCTGCAATGAAAATATTTGTTTTTGAAAATCGGTTTGTTTGAGAATATGACATGTCTTGTTGAGCTGTGATGGCTCACTGATGCGGAACTTCATCTGATGCTAAGACTCATCGGATGATGAGAATATGCATTTTATTTATTATCTGTATTAAAATAATTTCTAGGACATCCTTCAAAACCTCCTCACCACAATTTATAATAAAACAGCTGAACACATATGTTTGAATTAGCTCGCCCATATCCACTGAAACTGTAGCCTTTATTCTTTTCAAATCCAAGAACTGCTTTTTTAACCAGAAGCTTCTGTAAGGACCCATTTTTAACTTTATAATCTTTCATACTCATTGTTTCTCTCCCTCTCTCAAGCCTCACGAGTTTAGGGAGATACGGCTCATATACCTTTTAACAATTGCACTGAATGGAGATACATTTAATAGAATCAGATTCTTCTGTGCTAATACAAGAGGCCTGCTTCTTTTTCCTCCCGTCACCCTCTCCCTGTCCTCCTTTCCTTCCTTTTTTTTTTTTTTAAAAAAAGACAAAAACAACAAAAGAACAGTTGGTAATACCTCTGCTGCAATCCGTTCTTGGTCCATGATTCACCAGGTTGAGGATTAAAACACTAAGGTATAATGTCCATCTTGTGTATGGGTGAACACTCCATTGATCAAGATATTTTAACACAGGTAGTATTTTCAGGAAAAGGGTTGAAACTCTAGTCGCTCTCTGAGTGAGATGAGCAGTGACTAAATTTGAGATTTGAAACACTGAAACTGTATTTGGGGACAGACTCCATTACTTACCCTTTTTTTGTAGCATAAATTCTGATGTTCTCTTTTCATTGGAAGATAGATCCCCATCTTGGTCGCCAGGTGGTATCAAAAGTCAACCTTAGATCAGATTAAGTGCTATTTTATTTTTTTTAAAAAACTCTGGGATGTTATAGACAAAGAGCTTAAGCACAATAACATCTGGAATATGAAATATTTTACTGAATTATTTAATTTACGCAGTACTTAAAACACACACATATACACACATTTTACAGGCTACCTCTGCGAGATGACTCAACCTTGGATGTGCCCTAGACTATAATGTGACTTCTTGGTGTATCTAATAATTTCCGGCCACTTGATGTTTCCAGGTTCAGGAAGCGGGGATGGGTTATTTTGTCCTGAATATTGTCACCTTTGGGTAGGTTGGTTAGTTGGCTCTTTTGGCTAACCTAATGTTAGCAATATGAAAGTAATGGATGGTTATATGCATGGGAAGTTGGAAAGAAGCTTGTGGCAAAGCACTTCTGTAGTGTTGCCAAGTAAACATGGCAACATGTCCATGGAGCTCCCAGCTTAGTTCCAAAGAAAGTTGATGTGTCCTTTGACAGGCAGCTGTGTCTGCATATGCATGTGAAAGACCTTGTGAAAGGGAAATACACTGTACAATAAAGGTACTGGGGAAAATTTCTTCAAGATGTCCATTGAAATGAATGGGAGTCATTGAGGTTCCCCACAGGAATGTGCCTTAATTGGATTCTAATCACTGGATCAGTTTCAGAATTGGGCCTACCTTTGAATTGCCCAGCTATGACCTTATACCAGGCGCTTCTCCATTGCGGATGCCGGTTGCTTTGGCAAATAAGTTTAAAACTGGTCCCTTTTAGTCATCTTATAGCAGATACTTCAACTGGAAGTGTCTTCCTGCCACTTCTATTCCTGGCTTTGATAGTTGGCTTCACTTATCTCTTGGGTCCTGACTGGCCCATCCCCAACACTAGCTATCTCTTATCAACATTCCTAAAAACATCCCTTTTTAACCGAAGGGGCGAAAGACGTTTGAAACATTCAGTGTGGTTCTACAGAAATTCACATCGTACTTTATGCAGTCTGTCTACCCAGCCTGCTCTTTGGGGAATGGTTTGGAACTTTTTTCCCCTTGTTAGGGACAACATGCTTAATATTGTAGTAATTGACTAAAACAATTAAAAACATATTTTAATAGTGTTTTCCTTTTCTAATGACCCTTTTAATTTCCCAGTAGTATTTCATCGGGAAAAAATATTCAGGTGGCAAACAGTCTCCAAAAACCAAATTAATTCTCCTTTCCTATCTAAAACACATGGAGCACAGGATTCAGGGTAGATGTTTCCAAAGAGCATTTACAAATTGAACACATTGATAGAATTTCCTAGAAAAAAACAGGAAAAGGGCTTGCTGTCCCACCGAGAAAGCATGCGGCTTGGTCCTTTTGCTACCTGTAATCATGCTAAGTCTACATTGTGTTAACCCAGTCACTGTGATTGACAAAGTGTGGTTTACAGCTTACTGGGTGAACCCATCACACATGACGTCTTCAATTAAAAGGTTGAACAAGCTATGGCTTAGAATGACATATGAGCTCAGACTTGGAAATCACAGATTCAATTAGAAAAGTGGGCAATTCAGTTCTTCCTTGACACTGCTGATCTAGGAACACAAGTCCCTAAGTCATGCTGGTTTTAGTGGATATTGCAAACATGGCTTAGATTGTATCAGAACATTGCGCAATAGGGTTTTTTTTTTTTAATATATATATATATGTAAGAACTCAAGTTTAAGGTGTTCCAGTGCACAGTGCATCCAACTTCGTATTCTTCTACCGTATAATAAAAATGACAGGTTGAGTTTTTAAAGAGAAAGGTGAGAGCGAAATACGTGTATATAAGATTCCTTGTTCCATTAGCAGAGTGCTGGGAATCGGGCACCTAAACAGATAATAAAAACTATTTCTCTTGCACAGCGTACCACAGAAGACCTGCTCAAAAAGCTTTGGGTAGCTGGAGGAGCGGCAATTTGCAATTTGGTGCATTTTCCAGCTATTAAACCTGCTTTCAGTAGCAGAGAGAGAGAGAGATATGAAGAGGATTTTTGTCCTCTGCTCCTTTTGCCTTGCTACAGTGCTCCTTGGTCAAAGGATCTAGAATTCACCTTCTGCTGGTCAATGCGTGGAAAGAGTGAAGCATGTAATAGAGAAAATGTTTTGAGTGGTCCAATATCCAAAAGCAAACCTTTCAGCAGGAGTATCGGTTCTAGGTTCTGTAATTCCAAAGCAAGATAAATGCAAAAAAAGAAAGTTTTGGATCAAACATGAATACACTGTAAAAGTTCGTTGTGAATTATAAGCTGGCAGCTCCATAAATGATGCTAAAATTGAACTGCCCATCTGACCTCAGATGAAGCCTCTCCTTAGAAAGTTCTCTGCTCTGGGGGATGGTAACACATGATTTAAATTTTTGTTGAAGCTTTGGAAAATTTGAGTATCTTGTTTTTGTTTGTTTGTTTGTTTGTTTGTTTTTTTAAAATGTAAGCTGGTTTACTAAAATGTGCCACTGAAGTTGAAGTAATTAACATAATGTCCGTTAGGCCAACTTGAGTGAGTTTTGTAAATTTAGTGTGATTTAAAGCTGAATTTCTCTGTGAAACTCAGTATTTATACTGCAAATTTACAATATGTAAATGGTATGTGTAGCAAGAAGTCTATGACAGATATTTAACTTGAGTACCTCCATTGTAACCCAGGATAAACAATCTTGGTTTATTGGGAAAAGGGATTCCACCCATTTGTACTGATCTTATTTCTATGTGTGTGTGTGTATGTGTATGTGTGTGTGTATATATTATACACACGTACACACATACGTACACATATAGCATATTTATAATCTTGTATTATCAAAATCCAGAACACACAAAAGGTTATTCATAAGAAACCTATTCAGCTATTTTTATATGAACTGTTGGTCTCTGCCTTAACTTTTTTTGTGAAAATTTTGTGCCATAGGATTTTTAACTTATCAACAGATAGCTTGAGAAGTTTGGTTTGAAAAAATAAAATGTGAATATTGGATTTGGGCTAATGGATACTTTCAGAGTTTCCTGTCTTCATTAAGGGTTCTGCAGATAAGCATCTTGTATAGTTACATCTATTTCTTTTCTTACCCCATTGGTCCCACCTGCTTTCCCCCCCCCTTTTTTTTTAGGGGAGGGATGGGGCGTGGGGGGGAAGATTGCATCCACACTGAAATGCATGCTCTTAATTTCAGGAATTGTCATTTTGTTTTCTGAGTATGCCAGTTATAGTTTGACAGACCCTTAATAAACTGAGTTCTTTATTACAACACTGTAATTGTTAGGTCAACTTGGTTAGAATGAAGGGCTACCTTCCTTTCCTATCTTTGTCTACTGCATTCAAGGATATTTTTCTACATCTGCCAGATCTGAAAGACTGGAAAAATTCAATAAAGGATAAGTGAGTTGATTTCCTACATAAAGTTTCCAGTTTCTGTATTCATAACCATTGATTTAGAAGAGTTTGCTCTGTTACTAAAGCTAGATTTTATGTTCTCAAAGTCAATTCTATGGGTAGTAGCATAAGCTCCCCAGCTTTACATTCAAACCCTATTTTGCCTTCTGCTCTCCTGTTGTGTGCCCAAATTAGCTGGTACATTGGCTTGGTTCACACATTAAACTCAGCCAACTTTGTTTTGGGGTGTAACGCACACCCAGCCAATGTGATTTTAAAACTGGGGTTTATAGCTTACTGTAATATATGAACTTAGCCATTGTGGCTCAACTCTGCAAAGTTAAAATAGGACATGGGTTAATATGATGCCCAAGGCCATCCATTCTAATAATTACAATGATGACTTATATAAGAAAGGAGTTACTGTAGTAATACTTATCTTAGAAAGTGAACTTGTCATTTTTAAAGCAGGTTATACCTGGTTGACAGCAGTAAGTGATAAGGTGGTTTGTCTGGTTTTTGCTTAGCCTAATGCGTGAACCAAACAATTGTGCTTTAGCATTAATGTGTACATTAGGCTGCTGTGGCTTTTTTTTTTTAACCAAAGCTTAGGTAAAAACGACAACAGCTTCCCAAACCCTGGCTTAGTATCGTGTGAGCTCAGCCATCCTGCTGTACAAGTGGATATTAACAAGTTTGTTTAATTTTCAGTTGTTGGGTACCAAATCAGTGACATAGCAGCCTCTAAAAATGAACTTTGACATCTTCCTGTTTATAGGAAAAGGTTATCTGGAAAACAGCATATGTTTCCACTTCACTTAAACAGAAATTGCTGATAGAAGCTGTTTCTCTTGATGGCTTCCAGAACTATGGTTACCTAGGCAGCAAAGAATCTAGTTGTGTGGCTGAAATAGGGTAATTGATCACCCCCAGACCACGGGTCTCCTATCCCTATCCTGCTGATTTAATTGCCCAAATGTCTTGCCAATGAAAAGATGTTGCAAAATGTGGCCATCCTTTGATAGGGGAGGAACTGAGCATTGGGCTGTAGCAAAAGTGTAAATAATAATAATAATATTATTAATTATTATTATTATTGTTGTTGTTGTTATTTCTTCAGTCATCTCTCAAAAGGCCAATCGGTAGTCAGAATGCGTCTGTTGTCACAATCTTGGGCAATATGTGTGGGTGCATCTATATCCATCTTACAAATTTAAGAGTTACAACAAATTAGCAGTAAGCCAGAATCATTCTAATTTTGCCACTTTATGTGTACGATTCAATATTTGAGGAGATTTTGGTGATCCCGGGCGTATTAACAACCTGCTATTCTTCGGATGACGTGAACTGCAGCTCGCGAAAGCTGATGCCTTTTTAAATAATATTAGTTAACCTGGAAAGGTGCTCTTAGACTCCTGAGTGTTAGTCCTGGGCAGAGTCATTTCAGGAAGACCCAGGATCGGAGCGCTGAACTTTGCAGGTCTGAGAAGCTAGCCAAAAGGTGTGCGAACTCTAACAGGAGAGCAGCTATGTTTGATCCTTCTTGGCTGTGCCCCGGATGGAGGCTCAGCGTGGCTCCTTGAACGTGCTCGCTGCCTTTGGGCAGCGCTGAGAAGAATTTACTGAAACCTCAGCTGTATTGCCATGCTTGGGACCTTGGATTTCATTGGACTTCTCCGTTGGATCCCTTGCCTGATCGGTCATTTGCCGGTCCAGATCCCCGTTCTGCCTCTTGGGCTGTGAGTGCAGTCTATCCTCACAGGTAGCGCAACAGGATTTTTCCAAAGGACGTTTTATTTCAGCCGAAAGAAAGCCCAAGCTCGCTTACCTCTAGCCTGTGGCCAGTCTACAGTTTTCTCATTTGCCTCCTGGAAGCACAGAAAAGAGTGGGTTATGACTGTCTTGATACATCATATCTGAGGCAGGCCTGATCTAAGCGTTCACATGAACAGATAGGAACAGGATATAACTCCTCCCTGTTTAAATAAGGTTGATAAAATCCATGCCAAAGAAGCCTTTGGCTTCTCTTTGAAAAACCAGGTTTTTCACCCGCTCTCTGCTGCTTGCTCATCAGCACAAGGAAAGAGGATCCTTTTAGCCTCTCTGGTTCCTTGCCAGTTGAAGCTGCTTGTGTCGGGCAGAGATGAAAGTCCTACACAGACCTACCTGCATTTGCTGCCCTTCTCCATCTCTACAAGAGGTGAATCAGGAAAGGCTAGCTTGGACTCATTAATGCTAGTGAGCTTTGCAATATTGATGGAGCTATTAGCAGCCTGCTAATGGGCCTGAATACTGAGCTGAAATGTCTAGAGAGAGTAAACCAGGTAGCATCTAGAAGGCAGAACAACAAAGGATCCATGATCATGTCCCGCTCAATTGGGAGCCTGAAATTCCACAAGCTGGTAGCTTCTAGCTGTGCTTGGGTGATCTTGGGGTGAAAAAAAGCCTGTTTCCTATCTGGAGAGGAGACTGCTAGGAAATGCTAGCACTATAGGCTGGAGCCAATGGGGTACAAGAATGGGGAGACCCAGGTTCAGGTCCACTCTCAGCCATGGAACCTCACTGGATGCCCTTGGGCCAGTCACCCTTTCAGCCCAACCTACTTGACCTTCTACAAGAAAAGCAACAGGAGGAGGAGGAGGATGCAGAGAATGGGAATAAATTTGTCAAGAAATGTACATGGATGTGTCTGCAGTCAGTAGAAGTCAAATTCAACTCAGCTTAGGGGCCCCTTTACCTTTTTAGGGCAGAGAGGTCACACTGACTATGCAGTAGACTGCTGCTTGTCTCTTGCTGGGTGACATGAATGCAAAACTGGCTTGCTAATTCATCTACCAGTAATTGGGAAGCCCAGCTCCCCATGGGTGGGGATTTCTTTAGCAATTTTGGCTGCATCCTTTCTGTGAATGAATAGACCCTTGAACTTAGGTCGCACGCTTGAGCCTCTGCAGAAGTTGTTGTCTCAAGCCTGCAGGAATAATTTTTCCATGGAGAAGCTGCTCATAAGGTCCAGTGGGAAATGTAGCTGTTGAGATGGCATTTTTTGTCTTTTTTAGAAAATCCCATTTCTCCATGAAGTAAAAGTACGCCAGTCACAAGACAATGTTCTGTGACTGTATATTTGATTTGTTTGCTTAAATCCACAAATTTACCATCTGGATTTCTATCCTCATCCTTCTTGTAATGGCCAGAAGGAATGGCCTTGAGGAACAGGAGGAAGAGCAGCAAAAGACAATGATCAAATAAAAGAAACCTGAGTCTGGGGCAGATCCGTTACCCAAGTAAGCATCTCAGACAGGAGCTGAGGGAGGGAGGGAAGGGGGAAGCTCATTCAGACTTGCAAGATTCTGTTACTATATTTTTACAATAAATGTAATATTGGCCTGCCTGACCTTGGTTTCCTAGTTTGGTCTACTCTGAGGGCTGACAGCAACCCTGCAAGTCTGACTGTGCTTCTCCCTCCCTCCCATTATCTTCGTGAGAACTAGGGAGGGTCCTGTCTGAGACACTTACAGGAAGAGAAGCACACCCAGGGAACAGCAAGAATCCAACAATTTATCAAATTCTGCCTCTAGACAGGTTCCAAATACGATTGGTTGTGCATGCCTGCTTCCCTATATTTGGTAGCGTTCTGCTTGAATGTAAGCAGCAGCACTCAGGCATGGGCATTTATAAACAATAGCCACTTCACTATAGAATTTCCACTACAGGCAACTTTATTTAAAGAGATTTGGGCTCTAGCTGCTTTTTCTGCATTGCTTTATCCTGTAATCTGATGTTTTAAAAATTCAGTTGCATTTTAGCTCTAGAGGCTCCAGTGTGACGCCCAACAGGCTCTGTACTTGTTCTTACTTTGGTCAAAAAAGTGTATTTTTCTCCGTTAGGAGTGAATAGGTGGGAAAATATAGAGCAAAGCCCTAGTCCCAAATGTCATCTAGATTGCTCCTGAGCCCCACATTTTAAATGATATGCAGCCCAGCGCACTCCTATCCAGAAAGACAAGGGGGAATCGAGGTAATAGGGAGCCTTCCTGGAAGGGTGAGAGAAGTTGCAAGGTATCTTCACTAATGTGTCTTCTAAAGAAAGCTCATGATGGACCCTGTCCTTCCCAGCAGTTGTTGAACAAATGGCCAAGCCTATCTATCATGCCCATTTTGTGAGAACACCCTGAACCTCTCTCAAAATTCTAAACGTGTCCTTCAGTCCAAAACTTTTGGGAACCCTATGGCAAGATGGGGTAGTTAATTGCTTGATTCTTTATTTCTGCTCTTACTTCGACTGTGAATTTGTGGAGTGATGCTGTTGACTTCCTTGGGCAGCTCACAGAGGGGTGAGCTATTAGAAGGATCCTGCAGCAAGTCTTAGAAGATTCATCTGGTTTGATAGAAGTTGGCATCTTCGCTTGAATTTCCTTGCAAGCATCTTCATCTTCAGAAACCCAGGAGTTGGCCAGCAGTTTAACAAAATAAAAGCCAGAAAACAGGTTCTTAGGAATGAATGAGTTTTTTAGAAAGAGAGAATGTGTGAAAAGCCTTGGAAGGACATTTCTTGTGAAAAACAAAGTAGAAATGGCAGCACGATCTGTCCTCTTCAAGGGTGAAGTTTTTTCTTAGAGGGAAAGGCAATGTGTAAACTCATCCTTTGTGTAATACGTGCTGTTGTACTGACATCTGGTGGCAAAGAAGGACCAAGACTCAGAGGAATGAAAATAGCTGGCTTAAAGGCTATATCCCCGTATTTCCCTAACCCAATCTTTTCACTTTCCTGGTTTACGGATTCAGCCATACGGCTCTTGCCCAGCACGTGGCTTCATACATCATCTGGAGCTACAAAGAAACAAATTGCCATGGGATTTGGTCTTACGTGCAAAAAGGCAAACTGTCCCATCTATTGAGTGGACAGAGTAGCCAGCCTTCCTCGGTTTCCAAATGTGTTGCGATGACTACGCCATGAATTCTGAGCCAGAAGGCAGGGGCATCTGTAGGGGGGACTCCAAAAAGTCA